GGGAGGCAACCAACTGATGTCTCTCTCTCTCTCTCTCTCTCTCTCTCTCTCTCTCTCAATATCCTCAGGTGAGGATTAAAAAAAAAAAATAAAGGCACATATAACAGCCCAGAAGAAAATAAACACCAGAACTGTCATTAGTTTATATGCCCATAATAACATGTGAGGGTCTGAAATGAATTCCTGAGAATGCAACCACACTTCCATATCCAATAAGGAGGTAAGGATGTGGGAAATCAGCTAAGGTTGGATGGCTGTGGTCTAAAAATAAGGATGAGTAATTGCATCCTGGGAGAGATAAGTGTGGGCTCCCCCAGGAGGTCTGCTGAAACTCTTGGGCTGAACTGGGAAAGAGTCCCTAGTGTAATGGTAGCCACCTTGACATCTTTATCAGACCAGGCTGCCAACCTCAGATTTTTAAAAAAATTTAATTAATTTATTTTTTTTATTTTATCTTACCTCAGTTTGATGCTCATGACCAGGATCCCCTAGTTAATCACTCTTAATTATTATTTAAAATTGTGACATTCCCAAGTGAGAAGCAATGAATTAGTGAATCAGGTCTAGATAGCTGACTACTTTAGAGCAGAGGTTCACAAGTTATGTGTCCTGATGTATTAAGGAGTCACCCAGAGTTAGCAAGAGTGGAAGTGGGGAGCTCTGAACAGCCAGTTGCAACATAGCAATAAAAATAATGTGGCTCTCTTCACTTTTCCCCTCAAAGTTAAAAATTTTAGTTTACCAACATCCATCTGGATTGAAAAGCTTATATAGATAACTGGATTTTGGATTTATGGGGCTATGGGATTGTTGTCCAAAGACATGATTGACTAATTTGGTGAAACTGGTTTACTGTTGCCATGGTAGGTTGTATTAGCAATGAATTGCCTTGCTTTAGGCTAGGGAGTAATAGATATCACTTACACCTTAAAAATATAACTACTTAACATAGATCACCATGACCTACGCTTGACTATTAATATCCCAACAAAGGAATGGTTCCCAAGACTGATGCATCACCTTAAGAAGCTGAGGCATGAAAGCTCAATCCACCCAAAGGTTCAGGCAGGCTTGCCGATTTCCAGTGAGAAATGAGTTCATTTGACACTTCAGATGTCTACTCAACACCATAGGCACAACCACTTATTAATCAATTTTATTCTGTTTTTTTTTCTTCTTCTTATTTAGTTCACCTATTCCTCTCCCTTCTCCAATTACTGATATTCCCTTATAAATTTTTCTTTTAGTATTTGACATGATGTGTACAATGATGAGCCTTTAGGAATAGATAAGAACTACACTAAAAATATGAGAAAATACTTGCTTATGAGTGAAGTCTATAGTCTATGCCAGTTTTCCTCACTAGAGAGATAAACAAAAACAGAAATGCTGACCATATATTGAGTGCCAAAGTAGATAAGATCAATGTATACATCTCATTTAGATAATTGTAAATTACAACTTGATAAGAGTGTGATTAAATGGTCTTATTTTATGTTATTTTTTCTATAGAGGGAACATAAACATCTAAAATATATATTGAAGTTACTCAACTCACTACTTTCAACTTTTGTCCCCATGATCATCTTGAAGAAACCATGCTTTGAAGACAATGATAAAATTTTGTATGTGTCAAATGTTTTACTCTAAATAGCCCAACAAGTGGTGCTTAGAGGAGTTCCAGGAGCTAAGGCCATGACATAGGGTGGGGACAGAATGTCCACTGAGCAAAGGGGGTCTTGTGTTCTTTTCACTGCTCCATTCTACCTCCCTCTGAATTGAGCTAAACTACAGAAACTGTATCCTTCTACACATTCTGCTATAAAAACACAAAACTACCCAAGGAAGTTTTAATTTAGACATATTTTTTGGCCACAAAACACAGTCAATTATATTATGTCAATCTGGCTTTTTACAACTTACATTGATTTCCATGGTGGTGATGATCAAGCTAAAGAGTCTGTCATTGGTGTACATGTGCAAGACTTCCCCTGACCTGGAGTTCCAGTTGTAGACTGTCTGGGACTCATTCTACTGGCATTGAAAACCCTTCTTTGTTTGTCTTCACTTATGTTTTACTTATTTGTTCATTGCTTACACCTTGCCCCACTAGAGTGTAAATTACAGAGGGCAGGGATTCTCATCTGTTTTGATCTTTCCTGCATCCCAGAGGTTAGAACAGTTTTGGCACATAGTAAGCACTCAAAAAGTAGTTGTTTTAATGGAAGGACAGCAGGAAATGTAACCTTACCCATTTTCAGGCCATAAATCATAAAGAAAACTCGCCCACTGCTGAAACAAATTAGGAATGATTAACTCAATACTCTCTTCCCCCAGGCCTGTCAGGGGCCAGACTGAAGGAGAAAAGGAAGACACCATTAGCCCTCCGAGGGGCTCAGGATAGGTTGCTGCTTTGTCCTTACTTTTCTCATCTACAAGATGAGGTGGTCAGAGAAGAAAAACAACATGTCCTTGAATAATATCATTTCACCCAATGTCATTTCATTACAAAGTTGATGAGGAGGAAAAAATTGATTCCCAGACAGGGCCCCTGTCTGTGTGGAATTTGCACGTTCTACCACGTCTGCATTTTCTCTGGGGACTCTGGTTGCCTCCCACACTTCAAGATGAGTATGTGGGGTGAATGGGTGTGTCTCCATTGTCCCAGACTGAGTGAGTGTGTGTGCATGTATGTGTGTGTAGGAGGTGGGGTGTATGTATGTGTGTGGTCCTGTTCAAGGGGACTCCTTCCTGGTGGCCTGAGCTGCTGGGAGAGGCGCTGGCCACCCTGACACTGAACTGGGGATAAGTGGGTTGGAAAATAATGTTTTTATTCATCTCTCTTAAATGTATGTGGAGCTCACATTTATTTCAATATTTAGGTGATGTTTTTATGACCAGAAATATGCCCTAGGAACTTAACTCTTGTTTGTATCAATTAGTCTATGGTAAAATCGGTTTCATTATACACTGGTTCATTTAAAATCCAAGTTTTTAAGAACCTGTTGACGATGTTAAGTGAGGACTTACTGTATCTGCAATTTCCTGCTCTAAAACTCTATGCTTCATCTTCCCCTAGGTCTACATGCCACACAAAGGAGGTCTTAGGGTGCTAGGACCGTGAGACGCTCCACTCTGGCTCTGAGGTGACAGTTTTCTCTGTAGCATTTTCACCTTTTAACTGTTGTCAATAACTTTGCCATAACAAAGATAGCAAAATTTTATTGAGAATTTTCTCCCAATCACATCTACAATCCTGCAGCTCTCTTTTTGGTTTTATAAAGCAAAGTTCTTTTTCTGGGTCTTAATTGGTGTCAAATAGGATATTATTACATTTATGTCACCTCACAAGTCATTCCATTCCAGGACTGCTCAAACTAGGTCAGATAGGGAACATAAAGAAATCCTCCTTTGCTTTGCTGACCTTGATATCTTGAGCTTTTGAAATATAAATATAAAGAATTTGGGGCTAAATGATGAACTATCATATATCTGCATTCCAGTAGGGACAAATAGTAGTGGGATGCTAAATTTTCTTTTTTCTTTTCTTTTCTTTTCTTTTTTTTTTTTCAGAGAGGAAAGGAAGGGGAGAGAGAAATAGAAATATCATTGGTCAATTGCCTCCCACCACACCCCTCACTGGAGATCGAGCCCAGAACCTGGACATGTGCCCCGACTTGGAATCAAACCATGACCTTCTGCTTCATAGTTGACGCTCAACCACTGAGCCACACCAGCTGGTCTGGATGCTAAATTTTAAATAAAACTTTTAAATTGAGAAAATGTATCCTTATTGTGTAAATTGACCTGATTTTCTGCAAACTGAGAAGCACTGGCCCACTGACTGCATTTCAGAGCTCAGGCGGAGGAATGTTAGCATAGGGTGGTCAGGAGCATAGGCTCTGGACCTATTCGTTAGATGCTCTTGGGTGGATTACTTAACCTCTCTGTGCTTCCTCAATAATAGCATCGAACGTCTAGGGCCGTGGTCAGCAAACTGTGGCTCGAGAGCCACATGTGGCTCTTTGACCCCTTGAGTGTGGCTCTTCCACAAAATACCAAGTGCGGGCGTGCACATACAGTGCGATTGAAACTTCGTGGCCCATGCGCAGAAGGCGGTATTTTGTGGAAGAGCCACACTCAAGGGGCCAAAGAGCCGCATGTGGCTCGTGAGCTGCAGTTTGCCGACCACTCGTCTAGGGTTATTGAAACGCCTAAATAAGGTAGTACAAATAAAACTTCAACTGAGCCAGGCACCCAACAAGGGCTTGACCACTGTTGGCTGTTATTCATCGCAGAAGGCCATAATAAAACATGCTTAGGCAAGGGTTAGCTCAGGCAGGAAGAGAGATAAAAAAAAATAAGAGCATTTTGAGAAAATGTAAGGATTAACAAAAAAAGAAGAGGAACAGATATGGGCAACACAAGACCATTGGATAAGCTATATGTGTTTATTTGACTTACATTTCCGTTCATTTGAACCTTTAAAAAAATCATGAATCTACTTACTAGTACACAGGACTGCATGTGTAGATGAAGTAGGGCTTGAGGTTATTGACTATTCAGGCAAGGTGCAAAGGTCGTCGGAGCAAAGGCTGTTTCAGGTGTTCTTTTAGGTTATCTGTCTCCTGGAAAATCTGGAGACCTGCAACCCAGGGATTTTCCAAGAATAATCTTTCTAAACTGAGGGGGAAAGTCTAAAGATTTTGTTGTTGTTTTGTTTTGCCTTACTATGTTTTTAAATAACTTTTCAAAAATAAGGCTCTATGAAAAGAAGAGTTGGAACTCGCCTCTCTTTCCCAGGCAAATCAGTACTTTCCACAGCCCATTGACCCCTCTGAGCATTTCCCCAGCACACTCTGTGTTGGGGGTTATTACTTTGAGCGCGTTCAACCTTTTCTCAGGTGTCACTGAACTGTGCTTAGGCTGGCCTTCAGGGCATTGACCCTTAAGCAAATAGATAATGTTCTCAAAAAAGTTTGAATTCTGTTGAATGCTTTATAATGAACACCGAAGTTGGAAAAACCCTTTGACTCTCCACAGTGGAGTTCATTGTTTCTTCTGGCTTCCTCGAGTTCACGTTCACAGGTAAGCGACTTATAATTTCTACAGCATTTGAGGCCTATGTTCTGCAAGTTCATTTCCTCTAAAGCTCACTGTGTGGGGCATTGTGTTTTTTATTTACTAAAGGGTGGCCTTTTGTCATGCGATAATAATATGACTTGCAGAATAATGAATGATTTCATAATATTATATACACTACAGATGACTCCTAATTTGTAGCAATGCTATTTTATGAATCCATTCTCTTGAGAATCTGTGGTGTATGGGGATGTGTTGTACAAATGGGTGAATAGATTGAATAATCTACCAAAAATGAAAAATGCCAATGAAGTTTCTTAACTTGGCTTTATGAAAGCATAATTCTGTTTGCACTGATAGCCACAAATCCTTACCCCAGAAAGCTGGTGCTGGTTTAATAAAGAACTATACCGACTTACCTTTTTTTTCTCCAACACCATGCTCATTTCCTCATTCTCCCAGTTTCTAATAATTTAGATACTGAAAAATATGAGCTCTGGGATACCTGGCTAAAGGGGGAAAAGTTGGTTTCTAGAATCTAATTTTATGGTTCCCTAGCTAGTAGAAATTACATGTTGCTGATTATTTGAATGCATAGATAAAGTATCATACACATTTAAGACTGGAATTAAGTGCGGTATTTCTAAATGTTCTGAGGGAGGACTCGCTTTCTAGACATTTTAGAGACACATTAAAATGATTGTACCTTAGACTCTAAATATTTGGATCTAATCGTGATTATTATTAAACTTTTAAGGTATTGACTTATGTATAGGCTCTTGTTTAATAGAGGTTCTTTCTATGTGTAGGTACCCGCCAACCGACCCCCCAAACCCCCTACAGCTCCAGACTTAGTTACTCCTGGGCTCGCTCTGTAACTCTGTAATGATCTCTGAAGCCTCCATTTCCCTGCTGAGGATTAACTGTTTACACACCCCTCCCCACTTGATTGTAAGCCCCTTGAATAATTTGAGTCCCACCACTAAGAGTAGTAGTGACAAATATTTGCTGATGAATGCTGGGAGTGAATTAGGAAGTAATTTAGGGGAAAAAATTGCCCATTCTGGTTTTAAAAGACACGGAAATTGCTAAAAAATGCCTAAGTTCCAGTGTAGGAATCAAGTATTAGAGTGCTATGTTGCTTTGTGAAGATGAAAGGACTATGCATGGAGAGACCAGGGAGAGCTGGGAGTAAATGCGCTGTTAAATTCCACTTTCTTCAGGAGCTATTCCTTAGTCCTCCATCTCAGCTGTGACTCTGGGGAGGAAGGATGTTTGTGTGTCCCTTGAGGGTCCCTGTGTATTCCTTTCTCCTCTGGGCTATAAGGGGGCAGTGTCTTCCACATTGTTGACACACACCATCATCCCACAACCTACAAGAAAACATTTTTCTTGCTTCTTAGTATAAGTTAATACTTCTTCTCTTCTTTAATGATCCTTGGGAAAAATCAATCATTTGCTAGGTTTAATGATAACACAGGAGCCCTACCTACGTTCCTCAATGGCAGCAGTGAAAGATGTTTTAAAGGCTAGTTATTTATTTATTTGGTTAATACTCACCAGAGGATATTTTTCTATTGATTTTTAGAGTGGCAGAAATAGAGAAACATCAATGTTAGAGAAACACATTAATTAGTTGCCTCCTGCACAAACCTGACTGGGTCCGGGGATCGAGCCTGGAACTGAGGTACGTGACCTTGACTGGAATTGAACCTGTGGCCCTTCAGTCCCTGGGCAGACATTCTATCCCATTGGTCGGCAAACTGCGGCTCGCAAGCCACATGCGGCTCTTTGGCACCTTGAGTGTGGCCACAAAGTTTCAATAGCAGTGTACGTGCACGCCCACACGTGGTATTTTGTGGAAGAGCCACATTCAAGGGGCCACAGTTTGCTGACCACTGTTCTATCCACTTAGCCAAACCTGCTAGGGCAAGGGCTTTTTAGAAAAATCAAAATCTGTGGTTTGAAAAGTGACTTCTAAATTCAAGAGGAGCAGGAGCAGTTCTGTTTTTCTCTCTGAGCAGCTCAGGGAAGGAGAGTTTGTGGAGCTCAGGGACAGAGGGAACAAGTTCATAAGAGTCAGGAGAGCATTCACTGGGTGATGTTGGGGGCAGGGGTGGGCCACTCCACTCCTGAGCTGACCCTCTCCCCTGGCTGTCCCTCAGCTCCTCAGTAGCTGTCAGGGTTCCTCCTTACCATGTTGGTCTGGATGTGGAAAATCCTCAGTCTCTTCCTCCTGAATCCAGTCTAGGCAAGACCAACATGTTTTAAAGATAGTATTTGAGATAAAATGGAATGGGAAGCAGAACAAATCTCTCCCCTGCCCCCCCCCCCCCCCAAAAATTCAAAATCCTGAACACTGACAGAGTCAAGAAGCCATCTCCTAAAGTGACAAGAACCTGGGCACCATTGGCTTGGCTGTGTCACATCACACAGCCTGTTTCCTTTGGTGCCCTCAGGCACATTGGCTGGGGAGTGATTTGAGCTATAATATACTCTGGGCCTTAGTAAATGAGGGGGAGCCGCTGCTTCATCTGGGTGGATTTCTGACCTTCCCAACATGTTCCCTTGTATCTCTCTCTAGTGTGGATTCCCAAGTCTCAAGCCTTATCAGAGTTTTGAATTTTTTTAAAAGAATATATAAATGTGATCAAACCCTTCTTTTGCCTGAAAGCCTTTATTAGTTCCCATTGTCCTTGGGATAGGATCCCAAGTCCTTAATGTTAAGGATTACCAGGTCCCAAGGAAACAACCAGACACATCCTCCAAGGTTACCCCGTCCACTTGCCTCGCTAAGGTAGAAAACTCCTGATGTCTACCAGTAAAGGTCAGAAGACTGTCCTTCAGTGTGGGTTTCTGTGTTGATAGGATGACACATTTTATCAAAGAAATTAAAAACTTCAAGCCTGGATAGTTAAACAGAAGCACATGTAGAACACAGGTTATAGAGTACGTGCCATTTAGCAAAGAGAAACACTGGTGTTGGCATGGACAATTAAGAATTCTTGGGGGATTGCATGATTAGGTGGCTAAAGTCTGCCAATGAGTGCTTAGAAATTTTGATTTCCTACTTTTAACACCTATATTCTCAAATTTATTAAAGAATACATTTTTCTGAAAGACCCTGAAATTGTTCCCAGAGATTTTTAGGAGACTACATAAAAATTCAGAGTGAAAAAGAAAGAGCATAGTATCTTATTTTTTAACACAGTTCTTTTGTGTTGGTTAAAGTAAAATTTTGTTATTATAAATTAGAGGCCCGGTGCATGAAATTCGTGCATTGGTGCGGTCCCTAGGCCTGACAGGCAATTGAAGCATGAGCATCTGGTGTGGAAGGGCAGGTCTCAGCTGACCTCTGGGCCCTGGGCAGCACCTGGGCCCCCAAGCCCCCATGTGCCCCCCTCTGCCTGAGTCATGAGGTGGATCGGAGCCGGGCCTGTCCGGAGGAGGAGACAGCGGGAGGTTGGCCAGTTGGCCCTCCCCAATTGGGGCCTGATCTGGGACGGGCCAGCTTGGGGGAAGGGGCCACGGGTGATTGGCCAGTGGCCCTGCCCCCGATTTGGGGGGGGCGATGATTGGGGGTAGGGCGGCTGTGGGGAGGGGTTGTGTGGCGGTGGAGTAGGGGGGGCTGATCTGGGGTAGGACCAGGTGGGGGGAGGGACTGCAGGAGGTTGGCTGGCTGGCCCTGCCCCCCTATTGGGGTAGGGGGGAAAATCAGGGGTGGGCCAGCCAGGGGGAGGGGCTTCAGACCAATCAGGGTGGTGGGGGGCCATCGGGGCCGGGGCCAGCCAGGGGGAAGGGCAGTGGGGGTGTGGCTGGCCTCCTCACCCTCGATTGGGGTGGGAGAGGCCGATCAGGGGTGAGGCCAGCTTGGGGGAGGAGCCGCAGGAGGTTGGCCACCAGCCCTACCCCCCAATCAGGCCGGTTCACTGGCTGCAGTGGGTGTCATAGTGACCGGTTGTTCCGGTCGTTCCGGCGTTCCGGTTGCTGGCTTTTTATATATATAGATGAAGCAATTCATGTAACATCTAATTCTGGAAACATTGCCTTTTCTGGAAAATATCACAAGCAAGGCCTTGTTTATTCTTTCTAGTAATTTTGTTATCTCATTGCATTTTCCCAAACTTGGTGTCACAAAAATTGCCACTGTCTTTGTGGGTGCATGCAAGCAATTAACATTTTCAGCACAATGGCTTTCAAAAGTCATCATTGCCATTTCTAAACTGGCCAGAGATAAGGCATCTAGCCTCCATTTCTATTGAGCAACAGTCAAATGTTATGCAATGCATGCCTTGTTGCAATGGAGAGTATACATCTTTTGAAGGATGGCTCCTTGGTATATCAAACGGGAACAGTGGACTTTCAAAGTTCAGAGTGATGCACTGAATGCTGAAAAAGAAAACAAGGAAAGGAAAGAATAGCCCCAGATATTCCGTAGCTGGCCTGCCATTCTCGGGTGATGTACCTGGAACCAGAGAGGAAGGAGCCTGATTCTGGGGTGCATCAACTGAGAACCACCCTCTCGCAATCTGGGACCCCTTGGAGGATGTCAGAGAGCCAGTTTCAGCCCAATTTCCAGAGGCCAGGCTGAGGGACTCTAACGGTGCTTGAATCCATGCACCGGGCCTCTAGTATATATATAAAGTCAAAAGTAGGTTTGGAAAAATGTCTATTCAGTTTCTATACCCTCAGTTTCTCTTCTTTTTTGTTCTGTTCAAGCCCTCAAAGGATTGAATGAATGATGCCCATCTACATTGGTGAGGGAGATTTTCTACTGATTCAAATGATAATCTCTTCTGGAAACACCCTCACAGACACACCCAGAAATAATGTTTTATTAGCTATTAGGTATCGCTTAGTCCACTTAAATTGACACATAAAATTAACCATCCCATCAACCTCAGGCAAGGTCATTTGTCTGAAGATAAAATGAGAAAAAGCACTCCCATTTCATAATTTTGTCTAAGAACAGGACAAAATAAGATCACTATGAAACCCACAAAATACCAAACATCCCTCTCTCTTGCTAAATGAATGACTGCCATTTCTTTAACCAACCATAAAATTACTCTGGCTTTCTGACAGCTTCCAATCTGGAGCAAACCCCCACTTCATTGGACTCTCTCCCAAATCATCTAACTAAAGCTCACGCCCTATAATTGGTTATTCCTAACAACCCTCTTACTGAGACACCCATGGTCCCCCACAATCTGTCCTTTCTCACTGCAACAAGTAATAAATCCAGATTCTTCTACTACAGGTGTATTCCTGGTGGTTTTGGCTGAAGGGCATGGTGATGCTATGGGGATAGAAATCCATTCTGTGCATAAATTTTTGTCTGAGAATATTACTTTTTAATAGAAAATAGAGATCACAAAAATCATTGCATTCAGAAGGAAGGAAAATGTAAGCAAACCTAATGTGAAACCTAATGTACAGAATTGCTGAAGGCACATTTGGTACTTTGGTTAAAAAAGAGATCATGCTTCTATTTTGTTTTATAGGGTTACTGGCTGCAGATTGCAATTACCATGTCTGACTCAGTAATTCTTCGCAGTGTGAAGAAATTTGGAGAGGAGAATCATGGTTTTGAGTCAGATGGATCATGTAAGTGGCCCTTTTCTCTCACGGCCTGTTGTACAGTGACAGTTTAGAACAAAAGAGGAGCAAACTAGTGAGGTTTCAAGGGGCAGAGACAAATCATCAACAATATTTAGAACTATCACTGAACATGTTTCCCACATATGAATGGGTGGTTCTCCCTAGAATCCATGTAATGGAATGTCTGAAAGTGTTAAGGTAAAGATGCATAAAGTATGGGTGAAGGAAGTATCTATTAATATCTGTTTCCTAGGCAGAGTAGGGTTGTTCCAGCATTGGCTATGATTATTACCTCGATTCATGTATTGTTATAATTAATTATAGCAGTAATTATTCAGTGAATAAAACAGCACTGCTTCCCAAGAGGAACTGCACCAAGACTGTGCTGGCAGAATGGGAAAGGGCTAATACCTAGCATGTAGTGAGCACAGATGATTCTAAGCAAGTTTTACTGTTTTATCATTTTTTAAGAAATGTGTTTTTATTGATTTCAGAGAGAGGAAGGGAGAGGGAGAGAGACAGAAACATCAATGATGAGAATCATTGATCAGCTGCCTCCTGCATGCCCCCTCCTGGGGATTGAGTCCACAACTTGGGCATATGCCCTGACCAGAAATCGAACCATGACCTCCTGGTTCATAGGTGCATGCTCAACCACTGAGCCACGCCGGTCGGGCAAGTCTTATTGTTTTAAACCAATCTTATGACTTTATAGGACAAGAAACTAAGACTTGAATACACTTTTTAAAACTTGGCAAAGATCACATGACTCATAATGGAGCCATAATCCTAACCCAGTTCTGTCTAATTCCCAAACCTAAGATATTAATCTCTATCTATACTATAATGCCAGTTAACTCTTGATTAAATTAAATTAAATTAAATTAAATTAAATTAAATTAAATTAAATTAAATTAACATGCCAGGAGGATCAGGATGTGCTGCTCCATGGTAATGGTTGACCTATGATTTCCCTACTCAGACCCTTTTGCTTCCTACTCTCCATCTGCTCTGACCTGTGCTGGGAAAGTAATGTGCAGCCCTGTGCTGGGAAAGTAATGTGCAGCTCAATCCCACGGCTTCTACTGGCATTTGTGGTGTAAATTCTAAGTGGGTAAATTCTGATGTTTCTAAAGAACCAAATAATAAATAAATATCTTTTTATTTGGTAGTTCAAAAAATCCTATTTTCTTCATCTAGTTTAGAAATGTTGGTCTCTAGTTGATATTCAGAAGATACAAATATTTCATATCCTGAAGAAAAGTCATGCAGAGATGTAATCAAGCCTGCAGTCCTAATCCTGAAAGAACATCTTCTATATATATATATATATATATATATATATATATATATAGAGAGAGAGAGAGAGAGAGAGAGAGAGAGAGAGAGAATAAAAAAGGAGAAAAAGCAAATAATCATTTTGCTATGTTACATGAGTAAAAAATAATTTATAGGAATGGTGTTTTTCTAGAGTAAAATTGTAAATGATTATGTTGCATTTAGTCATTATTAACTGCCTTGTGCATTGTTTTTATTCTGACAGATAACAATGAGAAGAATTCACGGTAAGTGACTATTTCAACAATGCATTTTTTTCTAGAATAACTTCACAATATTCTTATGATAGGCACAAAGCAGAGGAAATATTTTTAAGTACATTGCACTTCCTATAAAATGGTATAAATAATCCATTATTTTTCTTTTTAAAACATTATTATAATTTTATTTCAAAAACCTTTTGGAATATCCCTTCTAGACTAGGTCTAAATCTCCCCTGTGTATTCAGGAAAAGCACAGAATTTCCAACCTAAACAGTAGGAAAGGTGTACAAGTATGATTTTGTGAGTACAGGGGAGGTTCCCAGGCCCAAATTCTTCCACAGCAAATAGCAGATACTTAAAACTTAATTGTTACATATTCCTCTTTAGTTTGAGTTTAAATTCTCATATAAAATAAATTTTAGTTAATTATACATTGGCATGATGGTAAAATTAGATGGAGTCTAATTTAGAAGACATTTGGGAGGTGCCAGGCAAGTTTCTGAAATAGAAGTGGTAGGAAGGGAGAGGTTGAAGGTATTTAAGAAATTTTAAGTAAGTAATTCATGGCAGAGGGAGGTGTTGGGTGTGGTAACATTACTTGGACTAGGAGTGGTAGGACTAGCCTGGGCCTAGAAGAATCACACTGGGTGGGAAAGAGATGAAAATGGGTGTGAATGTAGCTGAAAAGCAATGAGAGAATGACCAGGAAGTTTGAATGAATTCTTTGTTTTCTATTTTTATTTATACATTTTTTTCAGTTTACTCTTTTTAAAATTGAATTTAGTGGGATGACCTGGTTAACAAAATTATACAGGTTTCAGGTGCACAATTCCATACACATCTATTAGTATATACCATACTATGTGTTCACCACCCCAAGTAAAGTTTTGTCCATCACCATTTATGCCCCCCTATGCCCTCCTTCTCCTCCCTTCATCCCTCTGCAATCACCACTCTATTGTCGGTGTCTGTAAGTTTTTTTCTCTTTCTTTCCCTCTTTTTCTTCTTTGGTTTTTAGAGGAGATGTAATAATGTAGAATGAGAATATAAGAGTGAAAGTTTGATAAAGCTGCTGGGGGGAACAGGAACAATCTCTAGAGGGATAAAGTACATGAGCTAAGGTTGGAGACCATTCTCATTCATTCATTTCACAAATATTGAGTGCCTACTAGATGTCAGGCATTAAAATTAGTGCTGAGGTACAGAAAAGAACAAATTGGGGAAAAAATTCTGCCCTTGAGGAGCTTTCAACTTACATCTTAGTGAGGGAGATATCATAAACACCGTAAGTAAGTAAAATATGTAGCATGGTAGCTAGTGATAATCTATCAGTTTCTTTCTACAAAGGAAAAAGTAAACATGGAATGGAGTTATGAAATGATGTGGGGGAAAGTTGAAATTTTACCAACTTTGTCCAGAAAAGGCCCCATTGAGAGAGAAGGTGACTTATGAGGAAGGTCTAAAGGAGGAGAGAGAATTGACCACGTAGATAAAACTGCATTCTGGGGGGAGAAAATTGCAAGTGCAAATGCCCAGAGGAGGAAACAAACTTGGCATGGACAAAGGTCAGTAAAGAGGCCAGAGGGCTCAGGTGACAAGACCTGGCACGCAGTTAGAGGAGACAAGGTCAGAGAACCAGTTGGCCAGACCATGGAGGGCCTTGAATGTTTCACCAAGGACTTGGGATTCTACTCTGAGCTGGAAGGGAAACTCAGGGTAACCAAATGCGAGGCATGGCATGAAATGTTGGCATCAGTTCACATGGTGGAGATCTTGTCTCCAGCCAGCCCAGCAGCCTGGCTTCAGGAGAAGATGGCAAAAATGCTGGATGGATGCAGGGATGAAGTTTCCAAGGAAGGTTTTGGGGGAAATGATTGAGGCTGATGTTGAGAGTGTGGTTCAACTGGCAGGCAGTGGGACCTGGGAATGCATGGGGAAGGAAGCAAAATCTGTATGAGGTTTAGCAGTTAATTATAAGTAAATGGAGGGTTTAAGGGACTGCATGTCTCACGTGAGATGACAAATAGTTGTGGAAGGGAGAAGGAAGTGAGGAAACAAGATGCCTGGGCTGTCCCAGTATGCGATGGAGTAGAGTAGTTCCTGGTGAAGGCAAGGTCCAGGGTGTATCCATGAATGAATGACTCAGCTGAAGCAGAGTTCCTTGGAGTGAGAAGGTCAAAGATGGGTTAAGTAGAACTTTCTGAGAAATAAAATGAATAAGAAATACTAAGGAAATATAATTTAATGGGAAATATGGGAGTTTAAGGGAAACTTTTCATCACACCAACACTATTTAATGTAGTTGTAAAATGTTTTAAGTGCTAGAAGGAAGTTTTAAATCAGGTAATCCAACCACAAGGAAATAGGTCCATATCACATTATCTCACTTATATGTGGAACCTAATGAACAAAATAAACTGACAAACAAAATAGGTCCAGTGGAACAGAATAACAGATTTCAGTGGGGAGAGGGTTGGAGGGGATGGGAAAAAATTAACCAAAGAAGATATATTCATATATGCATAACCCATGGACACAGACAATATTGTGGGGAAGGCCTGGGGTGGGATGGAGCTTGTGTGGAGTGGGGCAAAAAAGAGGGGGCGGGGTGATGGGGAACATCTGTAATACTGTCAACAATAAAAATAAATAAATACATAAATAAATGTTTAAAAAAAGAAATAGATCAAGGGTTAAGGCTGAACTCTAATAGTTATTTATTAGTATAAATGAGAGTATGGAATACTTTTTATTTTCTCTCAGTGCCTTCCGGAAAACATCAATGAATCTCTCCTGAACATGAGATATAGCTATACTGAAATCTCTATAAGAGGTAAATCTGAAGAATAAAAGCTTGTTTTTAAGATACCAGGTTTGGCAAGAATTTCTCAACCAGAGGGAGCTTTTTTTCTTGCTAAAAAATGACTCATTGAATCACCACCTAGGGAGAATTTCTCATTGTTTGGGAAGGATGGTCTGTAAATCCCTATTTTCTCTCTTCAGGTTACAAAATGAGAAGAAAGGTGACAGCAGTCCAGTTGGCTTCTTTCAATTGGTAATAAGACTGTGCTGACTTATGACATAGGCTTTGTAACTATGAATCTTTCAGATCATGGAGGAAGTGTTAAATCTTTAGTCATATTGGCAGGTTTTTTAACTACAGTGATTACTTTTTCAGTCATAAACGTTGTCTAGGTGATAACATGCTGACTAGCAATTAGAAATGTATTGCTGATTAAACACACGAATCTTACTCAGTAGATCAGAAAAGTGTCCTGGAAAATAATCACTAAGTTTATAATTATCATTTTAGTAAGAAAAATCATCACAGAAATCATATTGTGCATATTTATTCATATGACAAGACTTTAGAAATAGTATAAGTATTTTCTCCAAATTGTTCATGGTGGAGGCACTTCTAGGCACAAATAGGTACTCTTCGTTGCCATTATCAGTTCTAGGAGCCAATGTATGTTATTGCTGAATGTCCTACATAGTATATATACATGGCAATGGTATAAGTGCCAGTGACTGTTTCCCTCATAAGTTGTGGAGAAATAGCTAAGTTGGCTTCTTTCAATTGGTAATAAGACTAATAAAGTCAGCTCTTGAGATAAAGAAAGTGAATTCAGAGATCAGGAAAGAAATAACATGGACTGACAATGTAAGAGTCTTATGTTTTAGATAACTCCTATACCATTCATTTTTATATAATTAGTGAGAACTCTGTTGTTCAGTATGATGATCCCACAAAATTTGGTGTTGAATACTATTTATCAGAATCTAGTAACTAAAATTAAATAGTCCTCCTACCTCTCCTGCTTTTCACCCATAGATGATCTCTGAATCCTTTGTTTTTCAAGTTTCGATTTTCTTCAACGACTGACATTTGGCTGATGTTTGTGGGAGGTTTATGTGCATTTCTCCATGGACTAGCCCATCCAGGCGTGCTACTCATTTTTGGCACCATGACAGATGTTTTTATTGAGTACGAAACTGAATTACAAGAACTCCAGATCCCTGGAAAAGCATGTGTAAACAACACCATCGTGTGGACCAACAGCTCCCTCAACCAGAACGTGACAAATGGAATGCCTTGTGGGTAGGCTGCTATTTTTTACTTTTTTGTTCACATCTTAAACTGTAATTCAAAATGTGTAAAGGGAACATATTGACTGAGCTGGAATGGTATCTAATATAGAGTACACAGAAACATAAATTTACCCACATTTCTACAAATTACTCTGCCCTGAGGTTCTCCTATCTTACCAGGTTTTGATATCCTAACAAAAAACATATTTGGAAATTGCCCATTAAATGCATCATCCAAATTTAACCACTTTTAGTGTATAGGTTTAAGGATGGGGCTACCAATACTTAATACCAAAAGAAAATGACCCATGGATTTTACTTTAGTCCTATGTCATGTCTTATATACAAGACTTCCTTTCCTTTTTTCCTAGCTCTCGTCCATTCCTTAGCTTCTGTGGCCATGGCTAATGATCCACTAGATCCCCAGCCTTTCCCGTATAATGGGAATTTTATTACTATGCCAAAGGCCTTGGAGTAGGGGCCGCTGGTCTCAGTTAGTAGTTGAATTTCTATGGAAGAGTGGTATGGTGTCATGAACAGAAAAAAGCCATGCAGGATTAGCCAGAGCTGGCTGTGCTACTACTGTTTTCTTTGTGATAATCCCAATAGCTGCCTGGTAATCAGTGGAGTTAGAGTACACAGGTTGACTCACTGTTTTGGACTTTGCAGCCTGCCTCATGCTGCCTCAGGGATAGGACAAGGTCGTTGCACATATGAACCCACATGCTTAGGTTTAAGAACCAAAGGCAGGGCACAACCTGGCTAGAAAGACACTTGGAATGGCTTTCCTAAGTGAATTTATATGTTTTACCTTCATTTAAAAAGCTTTTAACAGGCTTGATCCCAGATTATGAAAAACCCTTCTAAATCACTCTTTCCATGACATTATCTACTCTTAGAGCATTTTATTCATTCACCTATTTAACCAAAAATTTTTGAACACCAACTATGTACCAGAAACTTGTGTAAGCATCAAGTATACAGTGGTTATTTTAAGAGTCATGGTTCTTATCTCTGAAACCATCATTAAATCAATGACCATTCAAATAAATACGTAGTTGAAAACCAGTTAGTGCTTGATAGAAAAGTATAGGATAACATACAGTATGCAGAAGTACCCTTTGAAAAATACTAAACCTACTCATTAGAAATAAATTTTCTAATATATATATGTTATGTTTTTTTCCCTAAATTTAGAAGTAAGACTCACAACAGTTTGTATGAAAGAGTGCCTATTTCCAGTGACTATCTTTTAAGTCTTTCATTTACATTGGAGGACAGAGATGAACTGCTTTTTACAGAATGAAATGACTACAAAATGTAAAGTTAATTACTCCCCCTTTTGAAAAAAAAAATTAAGACTTCTTTATAATGTAAATAGACCCAAGTCCTTAATAACAATCACGAAGATAAATTTTTTCAAGAGAAAATTCCTAAAAGTATATCTTATAATGTTTTAAAATTTGGAAATAACTATTAGAAGGGCCAAAATTGCCCTGGCTGATTTGGCTCAGTGGATAGTGTTGGACCTTGAACTGAAGGGTCCCTGGTTCAATTCCATCAAGGGTACATACCTTGGTTGCAGGCTTGATCCCTGACCCCTGTCAGGACGGTGTGAGAGGCAACCAATTGGTGTGTCTCTCTCACATTGATGTTTCTTTCTGTGTCTCTCCCCCTTCTACTCTCTCTAAAACTCAATGGAAAAATATCCTTGGGTGAGGATTTACAAAAAAAAAATCAAAATTAGAGATATATCCATGACACCAAGTGCTCATAAATATTTATTAGATGAATTAAAGAATGAATCTACCTTTATTCTGCATCACCAACATCCATTAGAAAGGAATTCACTGTGGCTATCCATTACTCGGGCTTTATTCACTATTACTGGGTCATGTACTTCAAGGTGAGCAAATAGTGAAAAGCAAATAGTGGTTTTCAGAAGCTCACTGGCTTTAGGTGAGTCCACATGATACCAAACCTGTAAAAAAAATTCATGTGATAACTCAGATTGTGCAGACCACACCTTTCTTGGGCCATTTCTTTACTAGGAACTCCTTTGATGAGTTAAATACTTTAATTGTGAATTATTATGGTCATTGACATTAATACTGTTACACCTCTGAATTACTATGTTTGTTTAGCTTTCATGTAGTAAGATCACTGAGAAAATGGAGTTGGGTGGGACAGAGGAGAAGGGAGAGGACATTTTCCTCCCTCTAAGAAGTTAATATGCCTCCCAAATTACCCAACTCCTTGCAACTTGCTTTCTTGAAAAAGTGTATCATTAAAAGTCCAATTTCTCCACCTATTATAATAGGTCTATCAGTCTTGGACTATACAAGGCGACTCAATGATTTTATCAACATAAGCATGCATGTTTAATAGTAGGAGCTAGTTCTTCTCTTTCATTATATTGGTTTCCACATACCAATTGTAATTTATTGGATGTAATTTATAGGCTAAAGCCTTTCAAATGGCTCTTAGTGAAAAATGCTGAAAAACATTACAGAACATTAGGCCTCTTGATTAACTTACTGGTTTTTACACTTTAATTGGATAGAAGTAAACTGCATTTTGATATTTGGACTTCCCTTCTTTTATCTTCTTTCAGTCTTTCACCTTACTGTTTGATTATTCTGAGCAAATAAATTCTGAAAAGCTAATGAAATCATGAAAGTGACATGCCGTCATTTCTGCCATATTCTGTTGGTCACACAGACCAACCCTAGTACTATTTGAGAGGGCACCACAAAACAGCGTGAATACCAGAAGACAAGAATCATTAGGGGCTTCTTGGAGGCTGATGACCAAAGCCATTGGGAAGTTACTATCCTCAATTGCCCCACATATGGATGCATTAATATAGAAATCTGAGTCTCTATTTTCTCTTGGATCTCAGTCTATTTTCTTAGCAATGTACATGTAGCTTATGCATTTAAGCACTCTTTTGAATTTAGACACTTTAAGACCACACACTTAAAAACAGCTTTATTGAGATACAATTCAGATACCATATAATTCACCTGTTTAACATGTACAAATTAGTGTTTTCTAAGGATTTTTTTTTGCCTTTCATCTAAATTATGTAACTTGTTGGCATACAGTTGTTCAAAGTATTTGCTTATAATTCTTTTTATTGCTGGAAGACCAGTAGTAATGTCTCTCTTTCATTTCTTTAACTATTTGAATCATCTCTATTTTTTTCTTGGTCAGTCTAGCTGAAGGTTTATTAATTTTGTTTATCTTTGTGAAGATAAACAGCCAGCAGATGAGATAATATCCTATATAATAAAAGCCTAGGTGGCGTCGCACGATGTCGTCACAAGATGGTCACCACAAGATGGCCAGCAGGGAGGGCAGTTGGGGCGAACAGGCCAGCAGGGGAGGGCAGTTGGGGGCAACCAAGCCAGCAGGGGAAGGCAGTTGGGGCGAACAGGCCAGCAGGGGAGGGCAGTTGGGGCAACCAAGCCAGCAGGGGAGGGCAGTTGGGAGTTACCGGGCCTTGAGGGGAGGGCAGTTGGGTGTTACCGGACCTGGAGGGGAGGGCAGTTGGGTGCAACCAGGCCTGCAGGGGAGGGCAGCTGGGGACGACCAGGCTGGCAGGGGAGGGCAGTTGGGGGCCATCAGGCCAGCAGGGGAGTGGTTAGGGGTGATCAGGCAGGCAGGCAGTCGAGTGGTTAGGAGCCAGCAGTCCCGAATTGTGAGAGGGATGTCCCCCGAGGGGTCCCAGATTGGAGAGGGTGCAGGCCAGGCTGAGGGACACCCTCCCATGCACAAATTTCATGCACCGGGCCTCTAGTAACAAAGATTTTAAAAAAACAAACAGAAAAATAATACAGGAAATCAATAAAACAAAGAGCTGTTCCTTTGAAATCAGCAAACCTTTAGCAGGGCTGACAAAAAAAAAAGGGGGGGGGAGAAGACACAGTTACCAATATTAAGAATAAAAGATGAGATCGCTACAGATCTTGCTAACATCTTCTAAAGCAGCGGTTCTCAACCTGTGGGTCGCGACCCCTTTGGGGGTCTAACGACCCTTTCACAGGGGTCGCCTAAATACATCCTGCCTATCAGACATTTACATTATGATTCATAACAGTAGCAAAATTACAGTTATGAAGTAGCAATGAAAATAATTTTATGATTGGGGGTCACCACAACATGAGGAACTGTATTAAAGGGTCGCAGCATTAGGAAGATTGAGAACCACTGTTCTAAAGGATAATAAGGAACTACTATAAACAAGTCTACACACCTAAATTTGACAACTTGGAGAAATGAACCCATTGATTGAAAATACAAATTACCACAGTTCATCCAATATGGTATAAATAATTTGAATAGTTCTAACTATTAAGGAAATTGAATTTATAATGTAAAAACTCCAAAAAGGGATCCTCCAGGTCAATACGTTTTCACTGTAAAATTCTATCTATGCTTAAATAATAATAACACAATTTTATACATTATTTTCCAGATAAAAGGAAGGAACATATTCCAATTCATTTTATGAAGCTAACTAGGGGCCCAGTGCACAAATTCGTGCACCTTGAAAGGAACTGTGGGCCACGAGGCTGCAGTAGGCACAGAGGTGGGTCTTGGCCCATCCTCTGCGTACCCACCCAGCCACTCCCGCCATGGCCCCCAGCCCCCTGTCTGCCAGCAGCCTTACTCCGCCGCTGCTGCTCTCATGCACTGACACTGGCCCTGCTTGCACCCTCTGAAGGTGAGGAGCGATTGGGGCCAGTGCCAGCAGCGAGTGTGAGTGCCAGCTACTGCCCCAATCACCCCTCAGGAGCAGGGGAGATGGAGAAGCCATCAGGGGCGAACAGGGCTGCCAGCTGCCACTCACAACAGCTGATGGTGCTGAGCGATCAGGGCCGTTGCTGGACACCAGCAGTGGGTGTGAGCAGTGGCTCCAGCACTAGCAGTGGATGGAAGTGGGGCTGGTGCCGGCAGCAGGTGCGAGTGCCGGGCAGGACCGCAGTGTGTGTGGGAGCAAAGAAT